ACCTTTGTATTGCCTATGATTACAAGTATACTTACGATCATAGGTATACTGGTAGTTTGCTTTACTTCACCAAAATCACCAGGTACGTACTTATTGCTTTGTATTCTTCGCATTCAATACGATAAAAATCCACAGTTTATTCGGTTCTGTTTCATCTCTATTGTGACTCTGGGTTAAAAAAACTCAAACCATTTGGCGAGAACAGAATTATAAGCACTACGACTGTTTCACTTTTCCATTTCAAATATCCTTTGACGAACGCTAATCGACTAAGGTGATTATCATCAGTAGATTTGATACTTTGTCTCTAACTCGAGCCTTCGTATTTCACTTATTGGAAGGAATTATAGATTAGAAAACGATTCCAGAAAGCATCTTCACATTGCCGTTTTGTTCTTGAGGAACGCAGATAATAAGTTTCTCTAAGACGAAGATTATCGCGTTTTCTCTTAGTTTTTTCATATGTCAATAAAACATCAATTTCGCGAGCTAGTTTCTACAAATTGTTGTTACGCATTGTTACTTATTGCTGAAAGATCAACTTTATCTTGTTCAATTTTCTAGAATCACTTCTTCTATTGTTTTTGGTGGTACTCTTTCACGTCACTAAATGAAAACAACAGCTTATCCTTGATTTCTTTTTCTCTATCTCATCGATATATTCTTGAATATAATAGAAATACGAAAGAATAAGAGAAAATACAACTCAATTCTCATAGAACATTACGAAAGTAAATATTTCTTCTCAACGGTACATATCTCTATATTTTCTCACTTAATGCTACCGGTAAAGGCGTGTAAGTAGTATGCATATTCCATCACTATGTTTTTTCGTTGTGATATCATGTTTGAATACGTATATATCTTCTTTTCTAGCATGTTCAGGTACATTCGTTTTCTTTTTTAATCTTTCTTTTTGATTCATGCATTTTCTCACATATTTTCTAGTGATTTATTTCTGTTACAGCTCTTTCAGCTGTAAAACTTTGTATACACGTCATAAAATAATACTTTTATCTGACTAATAACTGATCAGTAGTTGATCATTTTCACAAAGTGGACAAATAGTAAGCACATTTCTATTTTAACATAGTTCACATATCACGATAATAAAAATGTGTTATAATTATTAAACCTAACATCACACAAATTGTTCTGTAATGCACTATCTTCAATCAGGTCTGACAAAGAACACATTGTATTTAATCTCTATGGAAAGTATACCTCAAATACTTGAAACGGAAACCATATTGGATGATGATAATGAATAGGAAGAGCAAGATTCCAAAAACCCATTCACATTAGCATCGACATACCCCATTTAGTTGAATGTTTCTCTTCTAGAAACTCACTCACCTACACCTATATCCTACCTTTTCAATCTATGATAAAGTACGTCTGACTGAAAAATATTTTTTTGAAAATTGATCCTGGCCCATTTTAGAATGTTAAAGATACTTGCTTCCAATTTCAAGCAGACAGATGCCATGAAAAGAGTTGCATTGATGGGCCAATGATTCATTGTTCTTGGTGCAACAGGAACATGATTCACTCTTTTTTCAAATTATAATCATCATTAGATTGATCAATTCTTTTCTTGATTTTTTATTTTATTCTCATACTTCGTATCATTGTAATTTCCTTATTAAGAAAAACGTTAGGTAAAGATCTTCTTTTTTATACGATAAGTAGCGAGGTGTAAGATGAGTTTGTAAGAAGTTAGCTCGTGAAAATCTTCCTTTATTGAGATATAGCTAATAGTACGAATTCTTTTGGATTTTTTTCTATTTTATGAGTTCTACTGACGAGAAAACTTTAAGCTCAAAGAACAGGTATTTATGAGTATGACTTTCATATTACTAAGGTTACCAGTCAGTGATAAGTACTACTTGCTAGTGAGGGCATATTGGTCAGTTTGATTTTTGCCTCGAACAAAGCCTATTTTATGAACTTTGATCCAAAGTGTTCGAAATCATGAAATCCAGAGGAAGAGCACATAAGAAAACGAATTTGCCTACATCAGAATTTTCGAAACAAGTCTATAACGGCTGAGGTAGATAAAATGGCTACACTTTGCATTTCAATTTTCAATTACTTAATACCAGGTTACATTTGCTTTGCAAATGGACAAGATTTTGAGCGATTGAATTTCGACCGTGAGAAAAATTGTCGCACAAAATTTTGTTGCTTTCGAAAACATATACAATAAGCTTTACTATGTAAATTGTGTAGCTTTTCACGGTGCATCTGGTAGTATATTTTGTTTTTTCAACTAAAAACTATCAGGTGATAAAAAGATGAAATAAGAAAAAACGAATTCATCTTGTACAAAGAAAATCTCGTTTTTTCATGGTCGAAATTAGGTCTCTCGAAATTTTGTGCTTCTTGAAAGAAAAAAGTACAACACAACGTATTAAGTGAGTAAAGATTATAATGCAAAGTTTAGTCATCTAATCTGCCTCATACGTTATTTCGATGCAGAATGAGACAGCGAATCATTGGACACCGCATTTCATCTGTTTAGAAAGCCAATCAATGGTTCCTAATCTAGATTAATGTACCATATTGTCACTGAATCCAAACGGCTATATCCAACAATAAAATAACTATAAGCTGAACTTACGATGAACTAATAGTGTTTCTATAGGGTTTGATGCAGTTTTTGACGGACTAACCGTTGGTGTAGTTTTCTTCTAGTTATTTTATTAGCTAAAGCCTTTCAAGATTTGATAGTGCCTAAAACTTCAATCATATGTGCTGCCATTTCAGAAGAACATATAGTATTCATATTAACAAAACAGAAGCCGATTATATGATTGTCTAGAGTCGATCTAGACTGATTAGTGGAAGTTTCTCATCTGTATAATTATGATATCCACAAGAAAACTTTACCAGCGTGTAGTCCGTCAAAAACTGCATCAAACTTTGAAGAGGACAGTCCATCGTAAAGCTGTCTTCAAAGCAATTAAGAATCCAAAACCATCCTGACATACCCGAAATATCGATCAAAACACTATTATCTCTCCATAAATTCAGCTTTTCTGCTGAGAATTTGTAGATAATTTACTCGTCTTTCAAATGAGACTATTTATAGGCAGGAGAATAAATGTTTTCACAAAGTTATTGTAAGTGTACAGTCATCTGACTGCAGTAAAAATATAGGATTGTAATCTACCTCAAAAGCTATTGAATTGTTTTTCAAGTAGATGATCTGTCTTTTTATGCGTCTTCCTCATTTGTTCGTAGCTTTTCGAAATGTGTAATACTAAGCTTTTTTCTCTGGAAGGACTATATCTCGAAAATAACGATACTACAAACTTTGAGAAACTATGAATGGATTCACATTTCTCAACTTCAAAATTATTTGATCAAGGTTGAAACACAGAGTTATTTTCGTAAAATAAGTTTCTTTGGAGCGAAAAATTAAACTGATACATTTTCCATTACCAAATAAGATAACCTGTCCGTAATATTAATTCGCCGTTTCAGCCGTCTAACCAAATAGAAAGCACTTATCAATTGCCCGAAACTATCATATAGCTATACAGGTCATATTGTAACATTGGAGTATGATCACGATGTTCAACATTAGAAATGAATCATGATTCACTTCGGCAAGTGATAACTTTCAATAAATAGTCATTGTTCTGTTCATTGTGTAATCTCGAACACTCGTAAAAAAACTTGTCATATTCTAATTGTTGTTGTTAATTAACAATGCGTGATATTCATGACGCGATGACAAGAATTTTGCAACATGGACATACTGATATTCATTTGATTTCGAAATGGTCCGAAATGATCATCATTATATTCTAATTGTAGCTAATGGCATGTCCTTCAATAATCAGTAAGAGAGAAACGAATGCGGTGTTGAACTCTTAGTTAGGGAAAGTTCATAGTTCGTTTTGTCATCATGTTAGCTACTGTCTCTGTTCTTCCTCAGCCACTATGAGTTTCACGAGACTCAACGAGGTTCTATTGAAAAGTGCTGGTTCTCACTCAGATTTGTTTGTAATGATCTGACTGTTCTCAATGGAAAATCATCAGAATTATCGAAATCTGATACTGTCCATTAGACATAGTTCAATCATATTAACTGATCAGTCTTTATTTCTTTGTTCTTGCGTTACTTAGTTCCAAAATGCCAACTTAATTTTAAAGCAGCGACCCAAAATCCAGTTAACTATAAGTATGATCCACGAGCTGTTGCCATGGGAGACTTCAACAACGATACCTCGCTAGATATTGTTGTTGCCAATTATGCTGCTGACAATATAGCCATATATTTTGGACATGGCAATGGCACCGTGGCAGGCCCAGTCATGTTTTCAACTGGTTATGGCTCTGCTCCGTACATGATTGCCGTTGGTGATTTTGACAACGATCATCGACTGGATGTCGCTGTCGCAAATTTCGGCACAAATAGCGTCGATATACTTCTTAGATTCCAAAATGAATCTTTTGCGAACAAAACAGTTCTATCGACTGAATCATCTCGGCCCATTTGGATTCATGTAGCAGATCTCAACAATGACGCAGCATTAGATATTGTCACTGCTAACTACGGCACACACAGTGTAAGCATATTTTATGGATATGGGAATGCAAGCTTTTCAAACTCAAGCACATATTCTACAGACTATGATTCTTTCCCGTTAGCGGTTGTTAGTGGCGATTTCAACAATGACAAACGGATGGATCTTGCTATCGCCAATTATGGTACCAATAATGTTGGTATCATGCTTGGAGTTAGTAACGGCACTTTCGCAAGGCAAAGCACGTTCTCAACTGGTCTTAATTCCCATCCTTACTCGATTGTCGTTGGTTACTTAAACGAGGACACCATGCTAGATATTGCTGTCACGAATCATGGAAATAACAGTGTGGGTATACTTCTTGGGAATGACAAGGGAACTTTTATAAGACAAACGACATATTCGCTCGGCGCTGCTTCTCCATATTCTATTGGCATTGGTGACTTCAACAACGACAATCGAATGGATTTAGTCGTTACCAATAATGGCACTGACAATATAGCTCTACTTGTCGGGCATGGCAACGGTACTTTTGCAAGCCCAAAACTGTATTCAACTGAATCTTCTTCATCAATCTCCATTGCTATAGGTGATTTAAACAGCGACAATCGTTCAGACATTGCCTTCATCAACAATGATACGAGCACCATAGGCATCATGCTTGGCTATGATGAATTTTTTCCTATTCAAACAACATATGCAACTGGCGCTTTACCGTACTCAGTAGCTGTTGGTGATTTTAACCATGACACCCGATTAGATATTGTAGTTGCTAATAGGAAGAGCAACACTGTAGGTGTACTTTTGGGATATGGAAATGGTTCTTTTGCTGATCAGATGACATATTCAACTGACTCTGGGCCATTCTCTGTAGCTGTTGGTGACTTTAACAACGACAACCATCTGGATATCGTCGTCGCTAATTTATATGGCAATACTGTAAGCATCCTTCTCGGATATGGCGATGGCTTCTTTGCAAATCAGACGACATTTTCAACTGGCTCTCACTCATCCTCTGTAGCTGTTGGTAATTTTAACAGCGACACCCATCTGGATATCGTCGTCGCTAATTCTCGTGACAATACTGTCAGTGTAGTTCTCGGATATGGCGATGGCTTCTTTGCAAATCAGACGACATTTTCAACTGGCTCTCAGTCAGCCTCTGTAGCTGTTGGTGACTTTAACAACGATACCCAACTGGATATCGTCGTTGCTAATTTTGGTGGCAACACTATAAGTGTACTTCTAAGATATAGCAATGGCTCTTTTGCAAATCAAACGACATATTCAACTGGCTCTGCCCCACGAGCTGTAGTTGTTGGCGATTTTAATAATGACCGCCAACTAGATATCGTCGTTGTTAATCAGAAAGACAACACTGTAAGTGTCCTTCTTGGATATGGAGATGGCTCTTTTGCAAATCAAACGACATATTCAACTGACTCTGCCCCGTCGTCTGTAGCTGTTGGTGATTTTAACAACGATATCCAACTGGATATCGTCGTTGCTAATGTTGGTGGCAACACTATAAGTGTTCTTCTCGGATATGGAAATGGCTCTTTTGAAAATCAAACGACATATTCAACTGGCTCTGGCCCACAAGCTGTTGCT